AGCCGGATGACCGGATCAAATACGTGGAATAACAAGCGAAGTGCGAAGCGTTTTCGTGTAGCGCAGAAATTCGTATCTGCGGCCATCAAGAGAGCTTTCTCCGAATAATTGTCATTCTGAATGCAAGCGGATTCTGGTGGGATCCTTAGGGGTAAAAGAGTGCGTTATTGTTCATCACTGTGAATCCGGGGGAGGTATAAGGTCTGTTCGCCTAGAAACATCATCCAGACACTGGGATGATACAAGGCGAACTTAGTTTTATCCGTGGTTACTATGTGGTTCAATGATAAATGTGAATATGAAAACAGTTTAAAGACAGCTATACATATGCTAAGATGTAATCGCACGGTTTGATTAAATCAGCTTGATCGTAGTTCAACTCTATTTCTCTCTCGCAGGGTGGTGGTGGCTCTTTCACCGGTGTGCTTTGGATCCTTTGGTTCAAGGTTTGAGCCAAACCACCGCCACCCAACTTCAGTGGTAGGCACCGTTGTTATCTCCCGGTTCTACACCATGCCACTTCAAACCCTGGGGATTAGGCTGCCAGTTACCATCACTGAACAGTAGGTCTTCGTGACTATGGGGTCCACCCCGTCAACTATATATCACACTGTAACATACGGGACTTGGTCCAACGCTGCCACCGATTCGCAATAGACGGTAGGAGGTTGATTTCGAGCACTACGATCGGAGTTTCTGGGGCCAATAGCGCTGTCAGAATACCTCAAATAAAATTCTCTTTTTGAAGTATTGGACCAACTCGTAAACGCAGCCCGGTACAGATGCTCTCAACGCACGGGTAGGAGACACTTCTGCCAACGGATTCTCCGTGGCAGCCATGAACCAAACAGAGTCCAGAGAGACATGCCCACGACTTACACTCGATCCAAAATGGCGGCGATGTGCTCAACGTGCCTAGCTAGGGTTACACACGCACTGATGTGTAATGAAAGTAACGGAAAAGCGGACAAATCCTAAACAACTTATTTATGTTGGCAATGTGAATCAATTTTCCGGCTGCGAAATATGCTCCGTCTCTCTCTCTCTCTGTCTCACTCACGAGCTTAAGTGGATATCCATAATTTATTTGCACAGCCGAATTCGCTGCAGACATTGATCAGTTCGGTGGATGAATTAAAAAAACTATGGTTCAAGCGGTGCACGGTTGCGAGTGAGACAAACAGGCGAATCCAGTGTACAGTGGTAGTCTGTAAAGGTCACCAACTAGTCGCTTCGGGGAACGTGGCGTTCGAAATCCGCCACAATCAGTGCATAGCTGTCCTGTATATGAAAGCTGTGCCATTATAATTAGAATAAAAAAGATGAAGATATATAAACATTGTTGGGAAAATGAGCGAAATGTTTTGGTAAAGCCTCATTCAAGTCAAGTCAATGAATCGGTTTGTACACCTCTAGCGGTGGATATTCGGCAACCACATAACCACAGTGTATTAATAAAAAGTGAAAAAACAAACAAACAGAATATAGCAATTAAAGGACGTTGAAAAAGACAGCAACATCAGAAACCAATGGCATACCCGGGTGTTTATGAGTGATTTAGTTTAGCGTTTTGCGCAGATTTTCTGTAACGAGTTCACGGTTTGTGAGAAATCTGGAGNNNGATACGGGGCAATAGATCACCTGTAAGCTTCAGTACTTGTCTTTAGAAGTTTGTGACTGGAACCGGTGGATGAGTGAGAAAGGCACTGATTAGGGGCGAAATAAAAGGGATAAAAAATATAAGACAAAATCTTATTGGAGAATGTTTTACAGGACTTGAGGTGATGTGTCACCGCATACTGTACCAGATGTTTCCGTAGTATGAGATTACAAACCGATAGAAACTTAAGGGACCGGGAAATGTGTTTCAGATCCTTGTTAAAAAGACCAGGGAAGATAACAGAGGACCAATAAAGCCAGTGAGGCAAAACGCACGCAAAACAAAACGCCTTATGAGATGGTTCGGAATGGAAGGTGATTTAAGACGTAAAACATAAAACATAAGCCTCCTGACTTTCAGAAAAACGTTATTGACGTGTTCAAACCAGGTGAGGTTACAGTTGACAACAATGCCAAGTTATTTGATAGACGGTTGTCATTCCATCTGGTCACTTAGGATAGATAAAAGCCGGCTGGCATTTGATAATTCATCATACTTTTGCCTTATCAAAAATGAAAAAAAATTACGTCATTACATTTTTGGGGGTTCGTTCGTAGGTTTCTTTGCTGGGACCACTCAGCTATTCCTGACACGTCTTTTTGTATAGTGGTTTGAAATGATCGGTCGCGGGAAGGGCGTTCCAAATATTATATCGTTTGCATACTTAACCAGAAGAGAAGAATCGCTCACAGGTATAGAGNAAAATGGAAAAGGGGATAAAATAGCGGCGCTTTGCAGTATGTCTTGTGAAGCAGTGAAGATGTACGACCTTTGTAGCGTGTGAACTACTGACGGTTGGAGAAATAGTTGACCAGGAGTTGAACCGTGACCATGTCGTTGTCTTCAAAAACTCCTGAACAGATTAAACCAATTCGAATGATTGATTAAGAAGCATACCACAAAATGAAAAGATTTACACCCCAGTTTACCTATTTCAGTCTTCAGGATTGAGGGCAGAGGGCAGGGTACCCGTGTAAGCCCCATCACCACTGGGTCGAAGGTCCGATCACAAGTTTTCGTTCCTCCATGGCCCGTTCAGGTGCTCATCCAGATGCCGTTTAAAAGCAGTGTCTGTCTTCTCTTCCACCACAATCGCTGGAAGGGAATTCCAGAGTGTTGTTGACCTACGCGAGAGTCGGTAGACTAACGTAAGACCAACTAACTGAATTTTCCGCCACGTGAGAGAGTGTCCCCGCGTGCGGTGCTCTGTCCGTAAAGGGAAGTACTGTTCCAGCTCCGGGCCCATATCACCTCTCAGAATCTTCCTCAGGCAGATGAGATCTCCCCTGAGGCGTCGATACGCAATTGGGAACAGGCCAGTAGCCTGTAGAGACCTTCCTAGCTGGTCCCGCGTAGTCCAACAACGAGTCTAGTGGCAGCACGTTGTACACGCTCCAAATTATGCAGTTCACAAAGAGCAATGGAAGCTATAATTAAAGTATACCATAAAAAACTCTCCCTCTCTCTATGACATAGAGCGGTTGGTGTTAAGCTCTTCGTTTCCTTATATATGTTCCGATGATATTTGGCCCACCACCTCTCCTGTTAGGAATAAATATCAAAGACGTTTTTCTCCCAATTCCTTGCAGGTACGGGTGTACGATGAGCCACGATTTGTCAGCCGCGAACAATGGGACTCTTTCGATCCGATCCTCGTGTCCGAATGTCTGTTTGCCGGGGCCAATATCGTGTCCACACTGAAATTGGTCTACGTGTTCACCATCAATCCCCAATTGGGTCCGCTACAAATCTCACTCGGACGTATGTTGAACGATATCTTCAAATTTTTCTGTGTCTACGTTCTTGTGATTGTCGCGTTCGCGTTCGGACTGAATCAGCTGTTCTGGTTCTACGCGAACAATCGAGCTCGCAATTGTCGCCACGTTCATTTCACATTGGAAGAGGGTCAGAAAGATGTGTACGATTATTGTATCACTCGGGGAACACATTTTACCAAGTACGTTTGTGCTTGTTCAACTCCGTACGTGTTAACTTGCCAGTGTTTTGGACATATACACATCGTCTATAGTCATTATGTGAAAGCCTCAGCATGCTCCGGTTGTGACTGATCACTCATTGCCCCTATAGAACTTGGCAGGTGATCCATTGCTAGTTCGTCTAGAGGAGTTGGCTAAACGCTCGGATTCTACACCAGAAAATATGTGGCAATGGTTGGGCATTCTCCAAGAAAATCTATCAGTTTTGGGTAACTTCTTCCTCAGGCTAATATAGCTGTACATAGTGAGCTCGACATTTTCAAATAGGCTTATTGCTTTTGATGTGATGAATATAATTAACTGATTTTGATGTTGTGATATGTGGTTTGGATACGAAGGGGTGGAGTTTTGTTGCTATGCGGTTTGGAAATGTTCGCAGCCGGTGGACAGAATGAGCTGTTCCATGTCTGGTCTGCGCCATTGGGTCGTGCTAAAGGTCACGGTCGTTTTGGTCGGCTGTCATGTTGACGCTTGAGTAAACGAACTGACTGAATGAATCACTTTCGAGAACAAAATGGATGAACGGATTAGGCGAATAGCAAACCGCCTCTGCTGTAGCAAGGTGCCGTTGACGAAAAAAATTTGATGGACTTCATGGTATTTTCAAATGACCTCAAGTACGTCGTCGTCGTTGTTTGTTTGTTTGATAACCCGTGTCTGCACTTGAAATCATTTTCTTCGTGCCCGTACACAACCAGGCCAACTTGTATCGCTTTATACTTTGCCATAATTGACCGAACATCATGGAGAACAGAGAAAAGAAAAGATGATAGGAGAACCAAATCAAATTTATCTATGACTCGGTTACCTAATTTATTCGGCATTAATAGTCCTTGGAAGTGAGAAATGTTATTAGCTCTATCTGGAGAAAATGTAAAAATAAAAGTTGCCTAAGTGATTAGGAGATATGGTGAACCTCATTATTGAACGACAACGCGTTCGGGCCTACATATGCCCGTCTCTTATGCAGTGGTGTTTTGTAAGAAATTTGAACAATGTGGATGATTTCTGCTCTATTCAATAAAACCAGTAGTGTGCCCAAGTCAAGACACGTTAAGCTGGATACACCCAACAGGGTGAATTTTCAGCACCCTCGACAAGTTACAGTGAAGAAAACGTTAAGCCCAAGTGAGTAATGGAGGATTTAGTTCAATTTCCAAGGGAAATTCGTCATGTATGCAGTAAATGAAGCGTGGACTAAAAATCTTGGAAGCACTGGACAGCTGTTTCGGCCTGAGTGAGTCTCATCAGCAACAATACGAATCCATCGTCCCAACTGCGGATCGCCAACTCGGGACCTCACAGGCAAAACGCATGTATTCTACCCGCTCGGTCACCGGGCAGCTGATCAGACCGTTTTTTTTTTCATTTTCCATTCATACCATTTAGCACAACCGATCTTTGCGAGCTTGTTGCAGGCCACAGACCTCGCTCACCTCAATCGTTTCTTGATAGGACCATGACTTGGGGTTGAGAACGTTTTATCATCCGTCCGAGGAGGATTTGGGTCGTCTCGAGAGCATCAGGAGTGTAAAATTGCGTGTCACCTTTTTGCGAACTAAATATCAGCACGAAAATTTCACAAGCAAATCTTATGAGCAATTTTCTCTCCCACCGAATTGCTTTAACCATTTTCAACGTTCCAGCCTCTTTGAAATCGCTCAATCCTTGTACTGGTCCACATACGGCCTGATTGATCTGACCAGTTTCAACCTGGAATATCCACATGCGTTTACGGAATTTGTTGGTGAGTTTTCGGGACCCGATTGGGCTGTTTGTCGAACTCAATTTCAATTTCAAATTTTTATTATGGGTAAATTACAAATTTGCTGCTTATTGAATCCCATAGGATCTGTACATACGCTGGGTTCGGTTGGTAGTACAATTGAATAGCAAATTCTGGCGTTCACTCACGGGTACTGAAAAGTTGGGTGTTTCAATGATTCACCCAGTCATGACTTGAATGAATCGAGGGTTGGTGCACAAACAACTTGTGTTGGAAGAGAGTTCCGGGTGTTACAAACTCTGAGGCTGAAAGAATGACGCCTGCAGTCTAGCCGACTATTTTGGAGCAAAAGTTTAAACGGATGTCGTCTGAGATGACCATTCCTGGATAGTGTTAGTAGAGCACCTCACGGGTAGTTAGGTTGCTGTAGTATTTGATAAA